AATTCCTGATTTAAGCCAAAAGGAAATAACTAATAACACTACTAAAAAAGGGATAAAATGGAATTGGACAGAAGAACAGGAGAAAGCATTCCAAAGTTTAAAAGAAGAATTTTCAAAAGGAAAGAAAATATATCACCCCATGTATAATTTATCATTTATACTTTGAACAGATGCGTCTATCCAAAAATTTGCAGGAATATTGTCACAAATACAAAACGATCAAGAAGTGACAATATGTTTTATCTCTTGGGTGACAAAAACCCATGAAAGAAAATAGGTATAGTGTGACAGCAATTAGAGTTTGCCAGCATACTATTTTGTGTGAACAGATTAAGGTTCTATATGTTGGGCGCTAAATTCACAATTGAGACAGATCATGCTGCATTGGTCCACATCATAAAGAATTGATTAGTGAATAGTCAAATACATAGAGGCATCCTGTTATTACAGGAATACGATTTTGAGTTCCGATATATCAAAGGAAAAGAAAATATCATAGCTGATGCTCTCAAAAGAGATGAAGAAACGGGAAAAAGGAAGCAGTTAAGCTACATGTGGGACTAAACATCTTGGCTCAAGAGGAAGGTATATTTTCTTTAAATGAGATACGAACAAATCAAGAAGACCTGAAGGAAAGAGAAAGAAGAAGAGAAGAGAGGGAAAATGACATATTTTTTAAGAGAATAAACGGAAAAGAACTGTATTTGGTGACACAGACATTGGGAGAGAAAATTATAAAGAAATTACATGAGGCCAATGGACATATCGGCAGCAAGAAAGTTTGGTTATTTTTTCGAGAAAACTATATCAGCCGACAAGACTACTGCATTGCTAAGGAAATCACCCTAAATAATGCAGTTAAAACTCTAAATGCCTTACTTAACACCTGTGATTATTTATAATTAATCCACCTTTAGACGAGAAAGCTTAAATTTATAATACATCCATATTTTGGTTAAAACTGCAAATTTGAATAATCAATATATTCATCAGTAAGTATAATATAAATATTAATGAAAAGTCTTACCTGTACATCGTTTTTTATTATTTCTTGATTCCATGTCCAAACCAACAAAATCCTTTTTTTCAAAGGGTGCTAGAAGCAGAGAAACTCTTTCTAATTTTTCTCTTGATCTATCAACTCGCTTTGAATCGAGAACCCAAAACAGGGAGTTTATAAATTCATTTAACTGGATTTCTAGATCAGCACAAGGGGAGGATACATCATAAAATAAGGCTCTAGCCTTAAAATTACTGGGAGTGGTAAATTTCTGTAGTGGAGATTCCACTGAATTTTCACTGTCCCCTGAGCTACTAGATGTAGGATTATCTTCTGTGGGAGATTCAGCATCTTGCGTTACTCCGAATAAGATACATCTTGAATCAAATAAGGTTGAATTATATTTAACTTTAAGACTTTCATGTACTCTACATATTTCATTTAATTCTTGTTGGGAGTCATATTTTCCCAAAGTTATCAATCCCAATAAACGTCTATGCGTTTGAAAATCTCCCCAATCATTATTTTCTACAGGATGTTCCTTAATGTAACGTAGTAAAATATTTCTAACTGCCCCTGTAGAATCAGTAATTTTAACACATGTTAATTTACTAATACGTTCATAAAACTTGGTAAAAATTTTAGGCTTTAACTGGTTTCCTATCTGTTTGACCAAAATTAATAGGGCTGCATGATCATGGGAATATTGTTCATAATCAGGATGAGACATATTTGGCTCACTTATACTACTTGATAAAATATAACTTACAGATGAACGCATTTGAGTGCTATGTATACACAACTGTTCCTTTTAACATGACTAAAAAGAAAAACTATTAAAAACTTTCAAATTCACATACACTGCTTTTTTTAAGTGTAAAATATTTTGACAAAATTTAATCAAAACACACCAAAAGTCATAAAAATTCAAAACATATGAAATTGAGTATTGACAGTGACAGATTCCATACAAACCAGAGTACATGTATGTACTATGGAGTACATGGCCTCCTATACTATACCCGGTTCGCTATTCCCAGTCCGAACTGTCTAGTGATTTTAGTAATTATTTTTTTGCGAAGTTAGTTACTTTTTGACAGACTCGAAGTGGCTGGATATTACTATACAACCAAGCATACGTGCTCTTAGTCAATATTAATGTAAACAAAAGTAAATAGAATAGAACTTTGCCGACAATCAATATTTATTTATTTACACCGTATAATGTATCGATAACAAATAATAAAATTATTTATTGTACAAAATAAAAAAAGTGGGAATAAATTCTACAAAATTAAAAAGTCAAAGTGAGGTTAAATAAAATACAGCAAGTTCCTTATGTTGTGACTACGATGGAATCAATGATTAAAGATTAACAGTTCATTGGATAGCATTAACATAAACTGTTGTTTTATTATCTTACAAAATAAGTGTACTTCCATATGCTAAAAGCAAATATTAGTAATTTGACTAGGCAAATTCGTGGTTCAATAGTAATTTTTGCTCTTTAGCATTTGAGGATGTTAAAATCTTCCACATATGGTGAATGAATTCAGTGTCCTGGCCGCAGTCTGCAGTCATATAAACCCAAACAAACAACAAAAACTTCCATGTAAGTATAAAAAGTTTATATTAAATTAGAAACAACTAATCTAAAAATATTAACTTTTAAAAAACATTTTATCATATTTATTAAGAAAAACTTACCAATGCATTAGCTGATGGAACAAATGGAAAACTTTGACTATCCATAATAATAAAATTTAAAATATAACTAACTAATTAACTGAATAGAACTAACAAAAGAATTAAACAAAGATAATAAAACAATGAAACTATATTAAATTAAATAAACAACGCGAATAATACAAATATTTACTACAATATTTTAAATTGTAACAATTCAAATATTATATTTAAATATACAGGGAAAATTTGATGGGTTTAGTATACACTTCCACTATTTAGAATAATTCTTCTTTTTTTCAAAGAAAGAAGTCTGCAATAGTAGTATACTTAAGCTCTTAATACTGAGAAGTAGGAATTGTTGTGTTGTAGGTTTCCGGCAATGAGTCTGTCAAAATATGCCCTAGCTAAGCGAATAGACAATACGTTCCACGTTTAGAAAATAACATTGCGGAGATAGGGCCATGTATTTCTTACGGACGATAGCAACGCGGCGTTGCCACGACACACACAAGCACAATTTAGGGTTGTATAATTTGTATTTTCATTTCCAAAAACATGAATTAAATTAATGTTTTTTAACGTAATTGACCAAAAGTGCCCATTTGAAACAAGAGAGGAAAAGTAGGGAAAATGATTTTAATTGGATAAATAGTCTTTACAAAAGATAATTTTATTTTATCTTATTTTAATTATAGTAACGACAGTTTATTTGTTTTTCGGTGAGAATACGATATGCCATGAATCATAGAAATCAGTAGAAAATATTGACCGCTTGGAATGCGTATATATCTAATTACTAATTGCAACTTAAAATAATACGATGTGCGTATGTCAGCTATTTTATGTCGTTCTCTGACTACATAATGATACTAAGGCTTTTATTTAGTAATTATTCTGACTTTACAGTTAAATGTTAATTGAAAATGAAAATTCAAAAATTAAGCAAAGGGAATATCTTGGACATCCGTGCAAAAGAGAGTGTTTGAGAGTTTTGGCAACACTGATCTCCATAAGCGTAATGTTATTTTCTTAACTTGAAACAAAGAATAGAAAAAAAAAGTTTTACCACGGTTCGTAGCGTGGCCCTTTATAGTAAGGTAAGTCCCATAGAAATATTTGGGAGAGTTTCTAGCGCCTAATGCGGACGGGCCGTAACTAATTTCATTTGGCGGCAAATTTAAAAAATATGTTCTGAATTTTAGACGGCAAAATTCAAAAAGTATGCTTTTAATGAAAAATAAAATTAGTCATAAAATAAGAAATTAAAACTTATTCTATGTCAAAAAATATATTCTCTCTATCCAAAAATATAGTATACACTTAGGCATTTTTATATATTGTCAACAAATATATTCTCTCTGCCCAAAAATATAGTATACACTTACGCATTTTTATATATAAATGTATAACATGTAATATCAGACAGAGAGAGTATATATTATGGTACAGGAAAGTTTTTATTTGTTATTTTATGACTATATCTGTTTCCCATTACATTAACAAACCAAAGCCCCGACAGCAACAAAATAAAACACACATATCCTGACACTTCTTTATTTGTATAATTTTCTTTGGTAAAGTATTGGCAACAAATATCTTCCTCCTCATTCCTTAAGCCCTTGTCAGGGTGTGGGTGGGGACACTCTAAATATTGTTAGCTTGCTGTCTCCATTGACAGAAATCCTCTACCAGATGGACAACTTGTTTATCCTGGATAAAGCACACAACTAGGAAATGCTAGAAGCCACGAAATAGAGGTAATTAATATGACAAATTAGTCCTGAGAAATTAATCTATTGCATAAATTTATTTTTGATTTGCTTTGTAATAAATAATTAAAGTAATTAATTAAGTTAATTAACAAAAATCAGCTTCATCATACCATAAGCAGATCATAATAACATGGCCTCCAACGTTCATGACATTTAAACTTAATTTTGAAAGGAAAAACAGATGATTGAAAATTTATTTATTGAGTGGTCAAAATTGATATATTGGAATTTTAATGACATATTGATTTTCTTTAGGTACAATTTTTATAATATTTTATTTTTGATTTGATATTTGCCTTTGGTTACAATTTTTTTTAAATATTTGAAAATTTATTATATTTGGGTGAGAGAAAAAAATTTCGTATCTGTAACATATAGGATGTTTTGAAGCTTTGTGTCTGGCAGGGATAAAATGCCAAAAGAAAATAAAATATCGACGTCAAGAAGCAAGAGCAAAGAAAATTTAGGAATTAAAAATATGGAGACTGAACAACAGGAATTATCAGGAATAGAGAAAATATTACAACTTTAATATTACAATGCAATGCAATTGGTCACAAAAAATAGAAGAAAACCAGGAAGAAACGAAACTAGCAATGGATGAAACAAAACAAATCATAATAGAAAATCAACGTGAAACAAAACAAACCATGGAAAAAAATCAAAAAGGGAAACAAATAAGCCTTAGAAGAAAACAACAGAAATATAGAGAGTATCAAGAAGGAAATGGTACAGAAATCGAGGAGATTGTAGAAAAAAGCGAGAAACAAGAAATAGAGATTAAAGAAATCAAAATTCAAATTAAGGAAATCAATAATATGTCTAGCAAAAAGAAAAAGTCTAAAATAATTAGAAATAAAATGTGAAAATTCGATACAAGAAGACAAGCGAGAAATAGAAAAACAATTTAAGCAGAAAAAAAAACTAATGGTACTCTACATATTTCATTTAATTCTTGTTGGGAGTCATATTTTCCCAAAGTTATCAATCCCAATAAACGTCTATGCGTTTGAAAATCTCCCCAATCATTATTTTCTACAGGATGTTCCTTAATGTAACGTAGTAAAATATTTCTAACTGCTCCTGTAGAATCAGTAATTTTAACACATCGTCGGCCTAATTTGTTATCCTGCTAAGTCCATTTTTGCATAGTTTAAAGGAGGAAGAAAAAACTGAATAATACTTTTTCTTTTTCACATATCAAGATTCTATGGATCCCATTGGTTCCTATGATGATTCTAGACATTTTGTAAGTTTTAATGCTCGAGTACCTAAAGTACAGTGTAAAAAAATCAAAAAAATAATAACTATAAAAATTCTTGAAACAAAACAATCATATTTTTTAAACAAAAACTAAACTTTTTAAAATAATTAAATTCTTCACAATAACCTACTCATGAGGTAAATCATCATAATATTTATGATAGTCAGATGGAAGAGTCTTTTGATTTCCTGCAGGTCTTCAAACTTCCGGAGAGTGATTTTTACGTCGATTTTGGTGCAATTGCGTTAAATCACTAGTCTTACAAGAATGAAATTGTGGAGATCTTCTTTGTGGTAAAGGTTGCCACTTGTCCTTAAAAAAAGTTTTATAGAGAATGGATCCATTGTTTTCATAACGTAAAGCTCGAATGTCGGTAACCTTAGGATCTCCTTTAGATCTTCCTGGGCGAATGCTTTTAAAAAATTGTATTTTTCAAATTTATTAAAGTAAGTGTGTTCCAAATATTTTACAACATATGGGGCTGGTAATTTTCGGGCATGTTTAACAATAGAAATGTATTCAGCTGGTATGTTTATGATTTTACTTTTAAGCTGACGTTCTATCGTGGAATGTATAGAATCCACCTCCATTTGGGTGTGACCTACTTCTTAAAATTTTTGTTCAATAGTAATATTTGTATGGTTTAATACAATGTTTAAAAGAGCATTGGATAAAATACAATTTCGATTTTGGTATGTACACCCGTCACTATAAAGTATAATTGTTATATTTTTATCTTTAGCAATATTAGATATTACATTGTTTTCTAAAAAGTCTACTTTCTAATATTAGATATTACATTGTTTTCTAAAAAGTCTACCCAAATAGAAACAAATTTTTCAGCATTAAGTCCGCCTTCTACTTCATTCCAAATAAAACAATTGCCCTCTTTGTTTTTTAAATTAAAAAAGCAAAGATTGTGAACTTGTAGCTTTGTCTTGTAATACAGTGTACTCACATTCGATTTAGGTGCCATTAAGACTGCCTGCAAATCAACGGCAAAGACATAGTTGTCTCCGTTTTTGTCTTTATCTTTTTCTTCTCTGGCTTGGTTCACTTTCTCAATATGGTCTCTGTGTTGTTCTTTTGTAATTATCCCTACTTTATAACAGGTGCATTTTTCGCACTGGTCTTTTTTAGGTCTGAATAGTGCAAAATTTTTGCCTTCAAATTCATTTGAAAACAAGGCTATGGAAAGAGGTTTTATATTTCGGTTTTTGCACCAATCGTTAACGTAAAACTGATAAAGACTTTCTTTCGATTTCCATTCTGGCAATAAATATAACTTTTGAGATGTTGCTCGACAATAATGCGCTTCCATTACAGGAAGAGAATCCAAAAATTGAAATAATAATTGTTTGGGTTGCAAAAACACCGATTTAGATGGTTGATTGTGACGCCTCAATATACTAGGAGGTTGCATTGTGAAGTCCTTTTTCCAGGTTTGTACAGTCCACCTTCCTAGATCTAAAGTGTTCAAAAACATCGTTCGACATACCTTAACCTTTTCATTATTAACTTTTAAATGATAAATAAATGTATTAGCTCTCTTTGTTATCTCTTTGGTATTCCGATTTCGTGGTCGCATTGTCTCAATAGTGGTTATCCATTCGTTGACGAGGGTTTTTTTTCTCCCAAGTAAAATTCCAAAATTGTATAAAAATATCCTTTCTTGAATTTTCATCGATGGTTTCACATTTTAAAGTACTGTACTTTCCGATTTTACAAGTGCATCTTGGTTTAATAGAACGAGCCTCTTTTGGTTTCATGTAATTATAGTAGTATTCTTTCTTCTGTCTTCCAAAATAGCTTTTACCAGATTCTCTTCTGTCTTTATTCTTTTCCGAAAACCAATCTTTTTTATTGACTTGAAACCGTTTCTTTCGTTTATTACTTTTTCTTATTTCAGACAGCGAGTCTGAGTCAGAATCAGAATAAGGCACAAGTTTATTATATGTTCTGTATCACTATCATTTGATATAGGTGAATTGGGTACAACTTGTTGACTGGAATTAACAAGAGGTTTCACCCGGAGCGTGCATATTGTCCATAATGCTTGGCGTTTCATCTGGAGTATTAGAAATAGCTTGAAGTGAATATAGGCTTGATTCATGACTTATTATTTCGAATGATTGAATGGCTGAACTACTTATATCCTTTGAAATCAAAATATTAGTGGTTTGGAAATATTTTTCAATTTGTGACGGTATTATAATCAAATTATTTTCACTCGCAACTGAGCAATGTATTATTTTTCAATTTGTGACGGTAGTATAATCAAATTATTTTCACTCGTCACTGGAGGAATATATTCTTTTTCAATTTGTGACGGTATTATAATAAAATTATTTTCACTCGTAACTGGAGTAATGTTAACATTATAAACTGAGCTTGTACAGCTAGGGTAAGGAATGTAAGAACCAATTTCTACTGTATTTGGGTTACAATTTGACGTTGAACCTAGAGTTTGTGGTTTTTGACCTATAGCCATAATCATCTTGTTCCCTCGAGACATCCTGAAAACAACGAAAAATTGTAAATAGTGCAATTCATATCTCGTGTTTTCAACAAATTAAGTAACAAAATATTGCAAAGAAAGTTAGTTAAGCTGAAAGAATACTGCACAGATGTTCCTATGAATTTCGCAAAAAGATAGAGTGATAATATAGACGTTTAGGTATTTAATTTATTAAGGTTGTGTGTAAATTGGTTGAATCATAACTAGAGTTCGGATTTAAAAGCATAAAGAAACTCAAAAAAGCGCTTACAAAGTATAACTACTTTATGCAAAAAACATTTTATTATACAAAAAAAAAATAAAAAAAAAGCAAATAAAAATAAAGTGACTGGGAGTCTTTATCGTAAAAGTGCCACCTGTGGTCATTCTACTAACGTGTCTGTCCACTTAGGTACGGTTGTAAATATAATTAATTTTAATTAACAGTATCATGAAAAAAATTAATTAAAAGATTATAACTTTGATCAACTGCTAAATCTGTAAATATGTAAACCTGTCAAGTCCTAAATATATAGGTTATGAGTTGAATGCATTTAAAAACACTTGATTACAAGACAGAATAAAAAAATAAGTTAAAGATAGAATAAAGCAGACTTACCTTGTTTATAATTTTGTCGTTTACTAACACTCTGCAACTAAATATTTTATGAAAACATTCAACAACTTCAATCTTTCAACAGCCACGTTCACGGCGGACCATTGTCAGTATGCAACTAAGGTTCCACGATGATTAAGCAGGTTTTCGATGTGTAGATTTGCTATTGGGTACAACGCAGTTTTTCGTGCACGGCTTTTCTACCCAATTGAATATTCATATCGACCTTATTCCTTTACCATAAGGTAGGTAATCGTCTCAACTTTATGACGAGCTCGAAAAGTAAAATTGACCAAAAAATGGACTTAGCAGGTTAACGCATTAGGCCGACGACATGTTAATTTACTAATACGTTCATAAAACTTGATTTACTTTTACTTGACATGTTCAAATTTTAGGCTTTAACTGGTTTCCTATCTGTTTGACCAAAATTAATAGGGCTGCATGATCATGGGAATATTGTTCATAATCAGGCAGACATATTTGGCTCACTTATACTACTTGATAAAATATAACTTACAGATGAACGCATTTGAGTGCTATGTATACACAACTGTTCCTTTTAACATGACTAAAAAGAAAAACTATTAAAAACTTTTAAATTCACATACACTGCTTTTTTTAAGTGTAAAATATTTTGACAAAATTTAACCAAAACACACCAAAAGTCATAAAAATTCAAAACATATGAAATTGACAGTGACAGATTCCATACAAACCAGTAATCAGAGTATTCTCCATTCGCTTAGCTAGGGCATATTTTGACAGACTCATTGTCGGAAACCTACAACACAACAATTCCTACTTCTCAGTATTAATAGCTCAAGTATAATACTATTGCAGACTTCTTTCTTTGAAAAAAAGAAGAATTATTCTAAATAGTGGAAGTGTATACTAAACCCATCAAATTTTCCCTGTATATTTAAAATATACTATTTGAGTTACTACAATTTAATATTATATTGTAGTAAATATTGTTGTTAGTTCTATTTAGTTTATTTAGTTATAGTTCTATTTTGAATTTTATTATTAGGGATAATCAAAGTTTTCCATTTGTTCTATCAGATAATGCGTTGGTAAGTTTTTCTTAAATAAATATGATAAATGTTCTTTAAAAGTTAATATTTTTAGATGATTAAGGATGCTGTTAAATTACAAGGTAATCAACCTGCACAAAGATTTATTCAAAACACCAACCATTTTTTTAATTATTTGCTCATTCGGCGTAGGTTGATCACTAAAATATATTTATGAAGTTCTTGTAAATATATTCTTAATAACAAAAACATTTCAGTTAACATCCATGTATATATAGCATGTATAAAGTTTCTATTATATATAAAATGTATATTATATATAAAAAATATATTTTATAAAAAAGTTACAGTAATTTAGTTTATACCGTTAAGTTGCTCCAAATGTAGGCAACCAACTTAAACTTTTTTGGCATTTAGCTGGAGTTTCTTGAGAATATTTTTAATAAACGTTT